ACGTGTGCTCTTCGATCATCTTGCCAATCAGACTCAAATTCTTTCGACTCGAGACATCCCACATCCCTTGAGATCTCCTATATAAACCGGGAACTTTCCCGGATCGCTCTCTTCTCTCCGATCTCAGATCCCGGCCCTCTCACAATCAGCTCAGATCTCAGACTTCTCAGATCATCCCGCTCACGGAACATCATTCTCGCTAAACATCGCCGCGAACCTTTACTTGCGAGTTCAGTAAATTGAAGTTGAGTGCGCGAGTGATCCGAGGTATCGTACGGCGTGACCAGTCAAGGGCAGCGAACACCCGACATCACATCAGCACAAAGTAAGTTTTTTCTTTACTTTCTCCTCACGCGAATAATCTTTTCGAGATCCTCGGTGGTCTGTTCCGCGACCTGTCTCTAATTGCCCTCGTCGTTTTAACTATGAGCGCTAAAATTGTCTCTTTCCTCCTCCTCGTCCGCGTCTCTATTATTATTATAGCGATCACGACTCTTTCGAATCTTTAATTTCCCTTAACAATTTTCCCCGCTGGAACCCGGTACCTACACTATAGGCCCGGATGATTTCAGTGTCGAGGAAATTCGTTCCGCGGTCGCTAGGCTCAGGCCTCACGACTCAATTCAACTATTCCTTCATGGCCCCCCCCTTCCCTTATATAATTCCCGTCCTTTTCTTTTACAATTTCTTTCCCCCTTCCACCGCCACGCTGGAGGAGCTCTCCAAAGAATAACGGCGATGCCATTAATATATAAATGTACATATGTACTTATATTAATGCATATCCATTAACTATTATAATCTGTTCACTCCCCTGCTCATTTCCTTATATCTTAATTCAATGTAACTGTAATCCCGATCACAGTCAATAATTTCCGAATTTCTACGCCTTGAACTCTACATGCGGCATTATTGTAAGCGTAATGATCGAAACACATTTAATTTGTAACTTTCACATGTACAAAATTCATTCAGTTAATTACAAATTATGTTAATTTAGATAGTAATAAACTTAATTGTTATGTTTAAACTCAACTTTCTTTGTTTTAATTAACGACCTCACACCCGCCTCACAGCTCATTCC